ATTGCTGTACCTTCCTATGTTACTTTTGAATCCATGGTGTTACAAGTTTATGGACCAATACCTACTATCATAACTACATATACCGTCCTCCTAAACATAATACTAACTTTTTAACTGAACTTTCAGCTTTTTTAACTTTATTATGTTCTATTTCTCCAAATGTGATTATAGTCGGTGATTTTAACATCCATTTTGATAAGGCAAATGCCACTGAGACAAAACACTTTTTATCATGCTTGGACAGCTTTGGACTGAATAAATTCATTGATTTTCCAACTAATTTAAAGGGTCACATACTTGATCTTATTTGTTGCACTAGAACAACACCTTTTAATTGTAGTGCATGTGACCTGTGTCTTTAGTGCCAATTTAGTGGTATCAAAGAATGTTCAAAGTCATATTATCTCATTTCGTAACATTAAGAATATTGATTTATCTGTTTTTTTTCTAATGAAGTGGATAACTTGTTAAACACAGATGGACTATTTAGCCTGGATGAATTGATCTCTCATTATAATGACCAATTGCAGAATATTTTGGATGTTGTTGCGCCTGTGAGAAATCGGACTTATTCCTTTGCTCATACCGCTCCCTGGTCAGCTAAAAGCAAAAGGCAGACAACTGGAACGTTTACATGCAAGATCTGGTTTAACTGTACACAAGGAAATGAAAGCGTAGCGTAAGTTCCGCCAGGAAGACTCAATTGTTACGTCATGTATTACCTTCTCATCTATCCAATCGCGTTCTAATACGTGAAGTATAAAAGATCCTTACTTACACTCGTCTGAGTTCGCAGATGCTGGCGCTTTCACTTTCAGTCGCCAGCCAACATGTTTCAGGACACGCATGTTTACTGTTATCGAGTTCCGACGATGGATATGTCCCGCCGTATCTCCTGCTACGCGACGCGCTTCTCGCGTTCAGTGCCGCATCTCCCCGTAGGCACAGCGGTCTTCGGAGAGTTTTGATTAGCCAAGGGCTCTTATGAGAAGTTCTGCAACTCTGGGCCTAAAACAGATCACCGATCCACAGACATGAATCACTCTGCAAGTCACGAGAGGCAATCTTCTCTCGCTGGTTCAAGTTCAAGCTCCAATTCCAAGGCTTTCAAGTCGGTTTTCAAGTTTTTGGTAGACGCTTCACCAGCCACTGTTAATATGCCCCCTCTATCATGATTAAACTTCATCCAGGTAAGTATTTCTCCGTTGCTTCCTACACCAGCGGCAGAGTTCAAATTGGTGTCCACGGTGATGTGGCGTGTTCCTAATTACTACTGATCTGCAGTATGCAACGGGGCTGGATAGCTCGCCTTAAAGGGGAAATGTTTGTAGCAAGTGTAAGCAAGTTTTACGTCACCGATATTCCTTAGCTACAGTGGTAATCTAATAATATCAGCGTTGTCGATACCACGGTCTCGTGGACAATTTGCAAATACCCTAACAACTTAAAAAAAAAAAAAAAAAACTTAGATTTGCCTACTTAAGAGCTTTTATGCATGCCATATTCACGGGTCGCGCTCTTCATAACGTTTGCTCACTCACCAGAGTTCGGTAATATAAAAAAAAAAAAAAAAAAAAAAAAACCTGAGTAATTGGTGATTTGGCTGTTATGCATACTGTAGTGGTTATCTCTAGTACAATGGCAGTAAATTACAAGTATTGTAATTTCAAACAAGTATTTTTCAACATATTTAGGCCTACTTAAAATTCATATTATAAGTCCCTTAATACTTTAAATTAGATCTTCAATATTGGAAAATGTGTTCAATCGCTGTGATACTCAACCTTTCCTGGCGACTACTTAATCCACAGAAATAATAGAAATAATTTATGTGATGGGTTCCACATTAACGTACAGAGAAATGCAGACTAAGGATGCTCCGGTCAAAGGCTACATATACTTAGCCAAAAAACTGCTATCTCCATAGAACTAACAGTCATATTAGTTTTATCAAGTCATACCAATCACCAGAACTAATCAGCGGAGGGGACTCGAATGTCATTGTCTTTGCTCAACTGTATGATTTACATGTTGTATCTTCTATTCAAGTCTCAACTGCTGTTGTGGCCAGCGATCTCCCATCCATGAATTGGGCTATGTCCGCAAAGAGCAACTTGGGAGCCATGTCAGGCATGCTGCTCATCTGAGAAAAGGATTCTACGCTCAAAAAACAACAGGATATGCGGTGGGTCTCCGTTGTGTATGCGGGGTTTGGCTCGGAATGCCCCACAGATAATTTTGGAATGGTAATTTCAAGGGTGAGTAAGCATATTGTTTTTGTCTATCCCTTTGGATATGGTAAGGCTGCTGCTCCCGGCACAGGGGTCGGAGTTTCAACAGCTCGTTTTGCAGCTTCGATTACCTCTCACCTACAATTTTAAAACTTTTCGCTTTGTTTAACCGGAATCATACAAGATGCAGACTCAAGAGTGTCAACATATAGACAATATTCCAAATGGTGTTGATGAATTATGTAGCTCATGTGTAGCTATCTCTAGTCACTGATTAGCTTATTCTATCTCGATAATCTATAAATCTTATCCCGTGGGCAGGATTCATGTAAAATTAGGGTTACCTAATCACTAACCCAGGAGGATGTCGTTTAGCTCCTCTCAGCGCTGTTGTAGTCTTTAAAAAGCAATTCCTTTAATGAAATTCTCCCATTGCTTGAACTTTGAGTGTTGTAACCTTGCAGATGTTGGTTATGCTTTAACGGCAACATTACACACGAAGTAAGTTAGAAAAGCAAAATCCATCCAATATCCCGTCCACAATGGTCTCTTTTCCTATTGTTATATTCAGATTGTACCTGTGTCTGTTACAGCGTTCATGGCTCATGCATCCAGGGGATTCACTCCAGGAGCTAAATACTCTGATTTTCCTCAAGGTCTTTCCTGATTTAAGTTTTCACCTAATTCTACTCGCTTCTTAAGAACTCTAAAATGACTCTCAAGGCTCCCTTCTCATCTATGATTAAATTCCCCTCTATCCTAATTAACGGAGCACTCCTCTCTGAGCCTGGTTCTGGTTCAGGACTCATTAGTTCTGCCCTCAAAAGCCGCAGTCTATCTCCCTCCCAGTATACTGGTCATTCCTTCAGGATCGGGGCAGCCACTACAGCAGCTGATGGTGGCATTTCTACTTCAGCTATTAAGATCCCTGGCATATGGTCTTTCTCTACATTAGAGTCATTTATAAGACCCGATTCAAAAGTCATCCTTGAAGCTCTGCAAGCTCTCCAGTAACGGTTCAGGTAAATACTAGGGGTGGAACGGTACATGTATTCGTATCGAACCGAAACGGTACGGGCGTCACGGTTCGGTGCACGAATTTACACGGAGAATACACGGTATAAAAATAAATAAAACTCGCGTGGAAAGTAATTAATGTAATGCGGAACTACTGTTAGATACGTGGGTTTTTCTTTAGGGACACATAATCTGTAGCAACGTTTACTTCAAACGTTGGCTTTACACGCGCGTCCTATTCGCTTTGGACTACCGTCGAACTAGACGCGAATTTGACGCTGTGTGTGTGTGTGTGTGTGTGTGTGTGTGTGTGTGTGTGTGTGTGTGTTCTGGTAATCATCACTTTGTGGGGACAAGAATCTGTTTACACAGTCACCTAATGGGGACCTCTTGCGTTGTGGGGACCAAAAATCAGGTCCCCATAAGGGTAACCCATTTAATTGGATAGTGGAACTGTTCTGAAGGTTCTGGGCGGAGTTTTAGCATTGGCCCATAACACATGATTATCAGGTAGTATGCGTGTGTGTAGCGGGAGCTCTGCTGCGCCCCCAAACATTTTTGGCTGGTAATGCACTCACTTTTCCACACACACATTTTCCAATTATGGTTGGGTACCGCCCACTTCCGGGTCCTCGTTAGGAAGGAGTTCGACAGCAACTTGAAAATACAAGTATTAAATTGATAACGTTACCTCACATGGAGGACAAAGAAGATTATTTACTGTAGATGCCAACTAAGGATCTGAACTTCTACAGAGGATAAAAGTGAAGCTCAAGGTAAGCACATATATTAAACCAATTAAGTTAACTGTTAGGTTAATTAGATTAGGCAGCGGGCTAGCTAGTTAATGTTAGTGCTAATTGTTGAGGCTAACGGTAAGTGTGGCCTGACATTTTCTCTGTTTTTCCAATAAGCGATCACATAATCATACAATTTAATGTTAAGGACTTAATTTTAACTGAAAAGTGTCGTCTAGTCTGACTGATTGCTAATGGAGGGATTCGGTTATTAAGTTTGTTTCTCTGTCTAGTTTGCGTTGGACGGTGGCTTATTTTATACTTTAAATTAAAGATATGTTTTATAGGCATATATATATATATATATATATATATATATATATATATATATATATATATATATATATATATATATATATATATTATATACGTTAGCACTTATGTTTGACTGATCAGAAATTGTTTTTACATTTAAATGAACTCATAGGCAACATATACAAGCCACAGATCTTGACTAAAGTGCTTCACAGAGAAATGAAGTAACGTTAGGCTAAAATAAAACAAAAACTGACATGGAAAGTAGCTTTAAAAGAATAAATGAATAAACTTAGTTTTAATTATGACTGTAGTTAAAATAAACTGGGGTTTGTATGGTGAGCTCGTTCAAAAGAGTAACTTAGTTAGGTTAAGGACCAAATGAATAGTTAAATAATTGCCAAGGCTACCTGGGATTTTACAGATGTTGGTTTTGTGAGAGATTAGAGCCTGAGTGAAAATGGTGAGTTTATGCCCGCAAGGCTAGCATTGTGCCAGTCAATAAATCTGATGATATTATATTGTAGAGTTCAGATTTCTTGTCTTACATTGATACATATAATATCATTGTAATGCAGTAACATTACAATAACATTCTTATCTAGGCTACTTATTGAACATGCTAGTTGAATTCTGCATGTGTCCCCATTTTCAGTGTAATTTTTTTCACACTATTTTTTTCCTCTCAGTTTGTAATGCCACCACGAATCAGCCCCCTTAAGGATGCCATGCATCATGTTGTTTCAAAGACTGACAAAACATTCAAATTAGATGTGAAGTATATCAATGCAGTGAAAGGTAAGGTGGTGTGATTTTATCATTCAATATTTACCAAGATATGCATGTCCTAACCATAATCTTATGAGCACATTAATCAGACCTGAAATCTGTAAAAATCTGTTAATCAGAAAAAATCTGTATTTTGCAGGACGTGGTCTATTTGCAAAGGGTGACTTTTGCAAAGGTGATTTTGTTGTTGAGTACAGGGGAGATATGATAAATGATGCAGAACTGCAGAGAAGAAGAAAACGTTACCACGCATCCTGTGCTGCATTTATGTTTGATTTCAAGTGGCGAGGGAAAACATGGTGGTAAGAAGTCAAGTTGTACCAAAGCTATATTCCTTATGCAAAAAGATAGTAAAAATAAACTGATTTGTGGTGGTATATTGTAGTACTTGTAATCATCCTTTTCTCATGGTTTCATATTTAAGTATTGATGCGTCAAGAGAAGATGGATCGTATGGGCGGATCGTTAATGATTGTCACAAACATCCAAATTGTAAGATGAAGAAAATTGACGTCAATGGAAAGCCTCACCTTTGTCTGTTTGCCCTGGATGACATTAAAGAAGGAGAAGAAATTGCCTATGATTATGGAGGAGAAAACTACCCATGGAGAACACAAGTATGTTGCAAAGCACACTGTGGACAAAATAGCTCATATTTTGGCAACATGTGGCAAACAAGTTGGTTGAATGGATTATAATTTGATCTATTAGAAATCTATGAATCTAATTGATGTCTATTCCAATAAATTATATCCATATCCAATGTGGCATACAATGACCATGTTGCAACTAATGGGTGAAATATAATCACAAAAAAAAACCAATAATTAACTATGTAAAATGAATGTTTCACATTCTCAAACCATGTGGTATCTGCTTCAGATTTCTCTCTTGTGTTTCCATGATCTAACATCTTGTCATTTTGAATGTTGTCTCTTACAGATGACCAGCGCTCCTGTTAATACCAGCACAGCGAGTAACTCTGATCCTTCTCTCCAGTCAGAGACTCAGATGGATGATGAATCTGCTCAAATCAACTCTCCTCAACAGGTACGTTCACATTCATCACTAAAGATTTAGGTTTTTGTCATGGTGTAGTGATTTGTAAGCATATTTTGATGCGTATCTGCTGTAAATTAGTACATTAAACCGTTTTAGGACATGTGTCCAGTAGATTAGTGGCAGTGGAGTATTTAGGGCCAGTTTTATCCTTCAAGAGGATTTTTTTCTGCGTTAATTGTTGCAATAAAATGGACACTCACGACGTCCCCACAACACACTTTCAGTCAGTGTTTGAGCTCAAACCTGTGTTTTGAATTTGATGAAACTGGTCCCCATAAGGAACTATAACGTTGTGTGTGAAAGGTCCCCATGAAGCCGGTTTTAATCCAGATGTGTGTGAGCGCACACAGAGTTGGACTGGACAGGAATGCATGTTTTAGATGTAGTTGATTTGTCTCTCATTCTCAAACCATGTGGTATCTGCTTCAGATTTCTCTCTTGTGTTTCCATGATCTAACATCTTGTCATTTTGAATGTTGTCTCTTACAGATGACCAGCGCTCCTGTTAATACCAGCACAGCGAGTAACTCTGATCCTTCTCTCCAGTCAGAGACTCAGATGGATGATGAATCTGCTCAAATCAACTCTCCTCAACAGGTACGTTCACATTCATCACTAAAGATTTAGGTTTTTGTCATGGTGTAGTGATTTGTAAGCATATTTTGATGCGTATCTGCTGTAAATTAGTACATTAAACCGTTTTAGGACATGTGTCCAGTAGATTAGTGGCAGTGGAGTATTTAGGGCCAGTTTTATCCTTCAAGAGGATTTTTTTCTGCGTTAATTGTTGCAATAAAATGGACACTCACGACGTCCCCACAACACACTTTCAGTCAGTGTTTGAGCTCAAACCTGTGTTTTGAATTTGATGAAACTGGTCCCCATAAGGAACTATAACGTTGTGTGTGAAAGGTCCCCATGAAGCCGGTTTTAATCCAGATGTGTGTGAGCGCACACAGAGTTGGACTGGACAGGAATGCATGTTTTAGATGTAGTTGATTTGTCTCTCATTCTCAAACCATGTGGTATCTGCTTCAGATTTCTCTTTTGTGTTTCCATGATCTAACATCTTGTCATTTTGAATGTTGTCTCTTACAGATGACCAGCGCTCCTGTTAATACCAGCACAGCGAGTAACTCTGATCCTTCTCTCCAGTCAGAGACTCAGATGGATGATGAATCTGCTCAAATCAACTCTCCTCAACAGGTACGTTCACATTCATCACTAAAGATTTAGGTTTTTGTCATGGTGTAGTGATTTGTAAGCATATTTTGATGCGTATCTGCTGTAAATTAGTACATTAAACCGTTTTAGGACATGTGTCCAGTAGATTAGTGGCAGTGGAGTATTTAGGGCCAGTTTTATCCTTCAAGAGGATTTTTTTCTGCGTTAATTGTTGCAATAAAATGGACACTCACGACGTCCCCACAACACACTTTCAGTCAGTGTTTGAGCTCAAACCTGTGTTTTGAATTTGATGAAACTGGTCCCCATAAGGAACTATAACGTTGTGTGTGAAAGGTCCCCATGAAGCCGGTTTTAATCCAGATGTGTGTGAGCGCACACAGAGTTGGACTGGACAGGAATGCATGTTTTAGATGTAGTTGATTTGTCTCTCATTCTCAAACCATGTGGTATCTGCTTCAGATTTCTCTCTTGTGTTTCCATGATCTAACATCTTGTCATTTTGAATGTTGTCTCTTACAGATGACCAGCGCTCCTGTTAATACCAGCACAGCGAGTAACTCTGATCCTTCTCTCCAGTCAGAGACTCAGATGGATGATGAATCTGCTCAAATCAACTCTCCTCAACAGGTACGTTCACATTCATCACTAAAGATTTAGGTTTTTGTCATGGTGTAGTGATTTGTAAGCATATTTTGATGCGTATCTGCTGTAAATTAGTACATTAAACCGTTTTAGGACATGTGTCCAGTAGATTAGTGGCAGTGGAGTATTTAGGGCCAGTTTTATCCTTCAAGAGGATTTTTTTCTGCGTTAATTGTTGCAATAAAATGGACACTCACGACGTCCCCACAACACACTTTCAGTCAGTGTTTGAGCTCAAACCTGTGTTTTGAATTTGATGAAACTGGTCCCCATAAGGAACTATAACGTTGTGTGTGAAAGGTCCCCATGAAGCCGGTTTTAATCCAGATGTGTGTGAGCGCACACAGAGTTGGACTGGACAGGAATGCATGTTTTAGATGTAGTTGATTTGTCTCTCATTCTCAAACCATGTGGTATCTGCTTCAGATTTCTCTCTTGTGTTTCCATGATCTAACATCTTGTCATTTTGAATGTTGTCTCTTACAGATGACCAGCGCTCCTGTTAATACCAGCACAGCGAGTAACTCTGATCCTTCTCTCCAGTCAGAGACTCAGATGGATGATGAATCTGCTCAAATCAACTCTCCTCAACAGGTACGTTCACATTCATCACTAAAGATTTAGGTTTTTGTCATGGTGTAGTGATTTGTAAGCATATTTTGATGCGTATCTGCTGTAAATTAGTACATTAAACCGTTTTAGGACATGTGTCCAGTAGATTAGTGGCAGTGGAGTATTTAGGGCCAGTTTTATCCTTCAAGAGGATTTTTTTCTGCGTTAATTGTTGCATTAAAATGGACACTCACGACGTCCCCACAACACACTTTCAGTCAGTGTTTGAGCTCAAACCTGTGTTTTGAATTTGATGAAACTGGTCCCCATAAGGAACTATAACGTTGTGTGTGAAAGGTCCCCATGAAGCTGGTTTTAATCCAGATGTGTGCGAGCAAGGTTTGCTGGACAGTAATTTTATTTTTTTTCTTGCGCTTTTTATTTTTACATTTCAAATACTGTAATAATGTAAAATGTTGTTTATATACTCTTTTCTTTTTACAGATTGTGATACAGCTCCGAAATGAAAATGACATTTTTGTACCAAGACTGAGACGGACTAAAAGTATCATGGTAAGTTCTCAAGTCGCAACAAGAGATTCAATGGCTATGTTTACATGCACACGTTGGAGTTTTTCTCTCTTTTAAATTTTAAAATCCTCGATAATTTAAAAGCGAAAGTTAAATGTGCACGACTGCACGGGCATTCATAATTTGAGTTCATTCCTATGGAAGCTCGCTCTGCTCACTCTTTACATATGATTAAGGTGTTTGGATATGAAGGCAATATCAATTAATTTATGTAATTAATATATTCTTATGTGATAAATCATTTTGACTACAAAATATCAGAGAATCAAAAATTTGCATCCCCTTTACATTAAACCCAAAACCCATCAGATGTCCTTATTTTTGTCAGATCAACTGCCCAAAACGTTTTATTACACTTAAGAACTTTAGTATAACAAACAGTAAGAAGCAGCAAATCATCACATGTAACTTGTAAATTTAAAACAAAACAATACTTGAACAGTACATTGATTATCACAATAGTTGCCAATTTATGTCTGTTAATGATCAATTAATTAAATGCAGCAGTTCTACCTATTTCTAATTAACTTTTTAATATATATTTTTTTTCATTTAAGATGAAAGACATGGATCTTCAAGATTCTGGTGAGCTCTTTGATTCTACACCAGAGAGTTCAGATAATTATGTCCCAGATACCACTTCCAACAGTGACAGTGACAGTGATGTTAGCCTTACACTGAACCCAACAAAGCATCAGCTTCTTGATGAACTGGATATGAATGAATCTGCCTCTGTAAGCTCCCCTGACTGTGACACAACAACGTCAGACAAAATGCACAGCCTTACATCTAAAACATCTGAAACAGTAGAAGAGCCCAGTTCAGACTGCGTATTTGTTAATGCATACCAAAAAAGAGATGGCGGTAGAGTGTATAACAAGAGACATTACTGCTTGTATTGCTCCAAACCTTACGCTAAGATGGCAAGGCATCTAGAAAGTTCACATGCAAATACATCTGATGTGGCTAGAGCTCTAAGCTTTCCAAAAGGTTCAAAAGAGAGAAAAAAACAGCTGGATTATATTCGCAACAAAGGGAACTATGCCCACAATGCTGCTGTTATGGAATCAGGAAAGGGGGAACTGGTGCCATTTAAACGACCACCTAAAAAAGCGCAGGGAGAGGATTTTATGCATTGTGCGTACTGTCAAGGACTTTTTACAAGAAAGGTCCTGTGGCGTCATATGCGTTCTTGTAGACTTAAACCTCAGTCAGTCCCCCCCAAACCAGGAAAAAACCGTGTTCAGTCCATGTGTACATACACAGGTCCTGTGCCTTCAAACATGACCAAACAACTGTGGGGAGTAATCAGTGCCATGACTCCTGACCCAATCACAGATATAATAAAAAATGACAGAGTAATTACTGAAATTGGGCAGCACTTGTTGAACAAAGGAGGGCTATCAGCCAAAAATAAACAGTATGTGCGGGAGAAGATGCGAGAATTGGGAAGGTTGATTCACAAGGCGAGGAGAGTCACCTCGTTAAAAACGATGGAAGATTGTGTAAATCCAAAGAAGTACATGGAGACTGTCAAAGCTGTGAAGTATACGTGTGGGTATGACAGTGAAACGGACAAGTTCATGATTCCATCGCTTGCAAACAAGCTTGGGAATTCCCTGGTTAAAGTGAGCAAACTCTTAAAAGCTCAGGGATTAATCTCAAATGACAAACAGCTTGTAAAGAACGCCAGTGAGTTTCTAGAAGTCCATGAGAGCAAGTGGAACGAGATGATCTCGGCTACAGCATTGAGGAACATCAGTGAAGCAAAGTGGAATGTGCCCACTATCATGCCCTTTACCGAAGACGTCCAGAAAATGCATACTTATCTCAGTGAAGTGCAAGACAAGTGGTTCAAAACACTCTCTGAAAGTCCCTCTACTAAAGCCTGGATGGATCTGGCAAAGGTGTGTCTAGCCCAGATGATTCTCTTTAACCGCCGCAGGGAAGGAGAGGTTTCGAGCATGCCTTTGTCTGCATTTCTATCAAGAGACACTTCTGATCCACATGAAGATGTGGACTGGGCACTCTCTGAAGTGGAAAAAAAACTCTGCAGACACTTCACAAGGGTTATCACAAGGGGAAAGCGTGGTCGACCAGTTCCAATTCTTCTGACTCCAAAAATGCTATCTGCCTTAGAAATCCTTGTTAAGCAGAGAGAGGCTTGTGGGGTTCTGAAAGACAATCCCTATTTGTTTGCAAGACCAGAAGCCATGACACATTTTCGAGGGTCAGACTGCCTCCGTGGCTTTGCTTAGGTGTGTGGCGCAAAGTGTCCCAAGTCACTGACATCTACAAGACTGCGAAAGCATGCCGCAACACTTTCAACCGTGCTGAATATGACTGACACAGAGATGGACCAGCTGGCAAACTTTCTTGGACACGACATAAGAATCCATCGTGAGTTCTATCGTCTCCCTGAGAAGACCCTGCAACTTGCCAAGATCAGCAAAGTTCTAATGGCTCTTGAGCAAGGAAGATTAGCTGAGTTCCATGGCAAGAACTTGGATGAAATTGGGATAGCTCCTGATGGTGTGGTATTTTATTTGACTTTTGTTTGATTTTTCTGTTTACCATCTATTCATATACCATGTGGTTTACCATTGCTAAGCTGTACTTTGAACTTCCACAGAAAAAGTTATTGACTGTGATGAGGAAGACGGGAGCATACAAGAGGGACACTGTTCATCTACTGTTGACGGTTTGTATTACTTTCAAAATACACTACTAGATTTTGCAGTTATTCATAGTTTTCAGTCACTTAACTTGTGAAGAAACATCATAGCCAACATTTAAAAAAGATTCTTCAGTATGCTGAACAAACGTTTTTTACGAAACTGCTCATTGTGTACTGAATCAAATGCCTCCAAGCTATTCTTCAAAATGTCTTACACTAAACATTTATTCTGGAGTGAATATTTTTTGTGGAGTTTACTACCATAAAAATAATTTTTCATAAGAGAAAGGTGCAAATTTGTCGTAAAATGCTAGCTGATCCGCTCTCTTCTCGTGTTGGTTGTGTCATGGCACTAAACGAACCATGTCAGATTGAGTATTTAACCATTTTATTTCATGTCTTAGTTAGCTTGAGCTTATTGTTTGATTAAATGTCTGCTGTAGTGTTGTCACGATACCAAAATTATGACTTCGATACGATACCAGACTAAAATACCTCGATATCGATCGAAAAATATGACAGAACTTACAATTCATTGTTTTATAAAGTTTAAGATTTAAAATGTGTTCCTTCAATGCTTTTTTTACCATTACCTTCCCTTTATTAAATATAATAATAATAATAATAATAATTAGCAAGTGCCCGTGTGTACGTCCTTACAAAGATGTTTGCAACATTGGCATTATTATCAATCATGTTAAAGGGATACTCCACTTTTTTTTGGAAATAGGCTCATTTTACAACTCCCCCAGAGTTAAACTGTTGAGTTTTACCGTTTTTGAATCCATTCAGCCGATCTCCGGTTCTGGCGGTACCACTTTTAGCATAGCTTAGCATACATCATTGAAGTGGACAAGACCATTAGCATTTCTAAAAAAAAAAATGACCAAAGAGTTTCGATATTTTTCCTATTTAAAACTTGACTCTTCTGTAGTTACATCGTGGACTAAGACCGACGGAAAATGTAAAGTTGTGATTTTCTAGGCTGATATGGCTAGGAACTATACTCTCATTCCTGCGTAATAATCAAGAAACGTCACTGCGGTACCACGAGAGCAGCAGGCGTAATGATATAACGCAGTGCCTGAAAATAGTTCCGTTGTGTTGACGGAAGGTAGCCTATTTTCAGGCGCTGTGTCATATCATTACGCCTGCTGCACTCATGGTACGGCAGTAAAGTTTCTTGATTATTACGCAGGAATGAGAGTATAGTTCCAAGCCATATCAGCCTAGAAAATATCGAAACTCTTTGGGTCATTTTTTTTTTTAGAAATGCTAATGGTCTTGTCCACTCCAATGATGTATGCTAAGCTATGCTAAAAGTGGTACCGCCAGAACCGGAGATCGGCTGAATGGATTCAAAAACGGTAAAACTGAACAGTTTAACTCTGGGGGAGTTGTAAAATGAGCCTATTTCCAAAAAAAGTGGAGTTTCCCTTTAACATTTGCTAACCTTTCACAATTCTGAACAGGTTGGGATGACCAAAATATTTCATGAAATGAGTTATTTAATATATTTTAAATGTAATTTTATAATGACAATACAGATATTTAATTCTATTTTTGTTATTTAAAATAAGCAAAAAAGCAAATTACAAACAATAGAGACAAATAAAATAAACAGTGCTTCATTTCTTTTTTGAATGCTACTGTTAAATAAACCTAGTACTGTAGCTGAAAAAAATAAAGTCTTCACTCTATAAATTAACTATAGACTGATTCTTAATAAATAGATACATTTATTCAGTCAAGCATTGGGTGATTCTCTATTTTCTGTTGTTTCATCAACATTAATTACACAGAATATTAGGCTGCTGGTCCGGCCCTTTAAGACCTGCACGTAGGCTACCCAATGGAACACATATGATTTATTTTTACAAATGGTTTACATTCACTAAAGACATACCCGACTGTGTTTACGTGAATACTCATCAGGATGTACATTTTTACCTAGAATTTTGATTATTCAATCCAAATAATCCACGAAAGAGAACTGAAGTGGCGATCGCATGCTGTGTGAAAGGCGTGTGTGCGCTCTTCAGGTCTGAGCTTGGCAGCGCGAGCATGTCCCGCGCTTTTTCTCATCATGCATGTTTCACTGTGCGTATATACACTCACCGGCCACTTTATTAGGTACCCCATGCTAGTAACGGGTTGGACCCCCTTTTGCCTTCAGAACTGCCTCAATTCTTCGTGGCATAGATTCAACAAGGTGCTGGAAGCATTCCTCAGGGAGTTTGGTCCATATTGACATGATGGCATCACACAGTTGCCGCAGATTTGTCGGCTGCACATCCATGATGCGAATCTCCCGTTCCACCACATCCCAAAGATGCTCTATTGGGTTGAGATCTGGTGACTGTGGAGGCCATTTTAGTACAGTGAACTCATTGTCATGTTCAAGAAACCAATTTGAAATGATTAGAGCTTTGTGACATGGTGGAAGTAGCCATCAGAGGATGGGTACATGGTGGCCATAAAGGGATGGACATGGTCAGAAACAATGCTCAGGTAGGCCGTGGCATTTAAACGATGCCCAATTGGCACTAAGGGGCCTAAAGTGTGCCAGGAAAACATCCCCCACACCATTACACCACCACCACCAGCCTGCACAGTGGTAACAAGGCATGATGGTTCCATGTTCTCATTCTGTTTACGCCAAATTCTGACTCTAACATCTGAATGTCTCAACAGAAATCGAGACTCATCAGACCAGGCAACATTTTTCCAGTCTTCAACTGTTCAATTTTGGTGACCTCTTGCAAATTGTAGCCTCTTTTTCCTATTTGTAGTGGAGATGAGTGGTACCCGGTGGAGTATTCTGCTGTTGTAGCCCATCCGCCTCAAGGTTGTGCGTGTTGTGGCTTCACAAATGCTTTGCTGCATACCTCGGTTGTAACGAGTGGTTATTTCAGTCACTGTTGCCCTTCTATCAGCTCGAACCAGTCTGGCCATTCTCCTCTGACCTCTGGCATCAACAAGGCATTTCCGCCCACAGAACTGCCGCTCACTGGATGTTTTTTCTTTTTTGGACCATTCTCTGTAAACCCTAGAGATGGTTGTGCGTGAAAATCCCAGTAGATTAGCAGTTTCTGAAATACTCAGACCAGCCCTTCTGGCACCATCAATCATGCCACGTTCAAAGTCACTCAAATCACCTTTCTTCCCCATACTGATGCTCGGTTTGAACTGCAGGAGATTGTCTTGACCATGTCTACATGCCTAAATGCACTGAGTTGCCGCCATGTGATTGGCTGCTTAGAAATTAAGTGTTAACGAGCAGTTGGACAGGTGTACCTAATAAAGTGGCCGGTGAGTGTATTTTACTGTTCTGCTTTCGTTGTTTAGTGAATGTAAACAGTGGAAGCAGAGCTCTGCACACACGTCCTGACTCCGACTGTCACACATCGACGCAAAATAAAGAAATACTGCTCTTATTGTTTAGAGTGATGTCACTCTTAAAGTACCGGTACTAATAAAATTTCATATCGTTCCGATTTTAATAGCTGGGTATCGCGATACCTTTCTAGTATCGGTATATCGTGCAACACTAGTCTGCTGTAAAGATGCAGTTCAATTATACTTGCAATAATGAAGAATTGCACAGGTTTAGGGTTTATTGTACTTTAATGATTTTAAATAATTAGTGCATAAGTGTAATAACACAGTGTATTGTCGAAGCAGAGACCAGGAGACATTGGGACATCTTTCAAGCAGGATTCTTTGAGAACTCGCTGTGCATCGCTGTAGTCATCCCAGTCTAGTCTAATTAAGCCAGTGTACCTTGTAGTCTATATGCCTTTTCAAGGGGGAGGGATTTACATAGAGGTGGAGACACTCTAAAACAAAGCATGTAAATGAAGTACGGAAGTCTGCTCGTTAACGGAAATTCCCCAGCCCTGATCTCATCAGCATAGCAGTGTGATTCAGATGCATAGGTGATAATCCACTCAGCCTGACTATTTAACGACTGGAACGGGCTCCTAGAGCCATTTAAAGACAAAGGCTCAATCCTAATTCACCCCTTGCCCCTACCCCTTGTTTTCGAGTGTACCCCTTGGCCCTTAAAACAGAGTTACAAGGGCCATGGGGTTGAAATATTCCCCTGCGAAATGGAACAACCCTTCATGAACCCAATACATCATCAGTCGTCGGCGATGGCTCTGACGTTACAGAGTTTTTACAGGATTTCTACATGACAACGACTGACAATCAGCGCAGCTGCTCTTAACTTTGAGGAAACATGATGATATAACATTCATTATAACATTATAACATTCCTTCCTCAATGTATGTCTTTTCTGTTTCGGAAAGGTAATTTATTATACAATTTCTTAATTCAAATCACTCTATTATTATTATTATAAGAGTAATTAAATTGCATGGTGGTGTCATCTGGGGCTAAATTTAAATGTTTAACCGTTTGCGAACCCATCTCGCGGTGATTCGCGATGCATTCTGTGAACCATCTCGTAGCCCTCCGTTTGGAGTGTGCCTCTAAGAAATCTCTGTTTCAAGGGCTATGTAGCCCTACCCCTTAGCCCTACCCCTCGATCTCAACAAGAATCGGGACACCCTACCCCTAGACGTGAACGCGCAAAACGGAGGGGTTAGGGCCAAGGGGTGTATTGGGATTGAGCCAAAGAGTGAGTCTCAGTAATCGGACTAATTTAACCTACAATAGAGAGAAACAGGACTGGCAGGAATCTCTTGCTGGAAAACTCTGATATAATCATTTATAACTCAAATGCAAAATTCAGTCTACTAAACTTTCTCAGTTTATATACCATTCTATTGGAACCTAAATTAAACATTTAATAAATTTGTAACACAACAATTATCAGCATTCTATAGTACATTTAAAGTGTATATCTTTCTGAAAATGTTGAACTTTGATTATTTTCTATAGAACCATCTTCAGAGGTGGCACTTCCTCCTACCGAGAGGAATGACATGCCGCCACCACCCAAGAGACGCAGACCACCATCAGATGAAGAGATGCCTTCAGGAGCCAGTGCTGTGAGGCCTTCTTCCAAAGGTGAACTCTTTACACATTTCTAAAGCCTTGTTTATACTCGACGCGTCCGCAAGAGCGCGAAGTGCGCGCGGCAAAAATGACGTCATTGCGGTGTGGGCGGTCGTGCGCGTTGGGTGCGCAAGACCCCATTTCGGCTGGCGGTGTGCACAGCACTTTTTGTAACATCGCGCGTGGCGCCGCATCCGAAGATGAACGACTTCGAGCCGAATCTGGCCGAACTGGTATGTCTGTACCACCATGTTTATGATCCTTCTATACACAGAGACATTTGTATTGATGGGCGACCATAAAAGCCTCTCATTTTGTGAATAGGAACACATTTACATTAAGCACCCAGTTTGCACTTGTATAAAGTAACTGCTTACATTTACAAAATAAGCCTACAATAGCAGAATTAAGCCCTGCTGATGAAATTAAGGTTTAAACACTCTTCAATAAGGCTTCAGTTGTTTACTAGTTTACATTCAGTGAAAGTGCAATAAACCTACTGCATTTATTACTCTTTTTATATGAATCAGAAATTAATAAACTACTAATAAACGGCAAACTACTTCTTCACTGCTGATTCCTGGTGGTTTAGAGGAGAATTACTCCGAGTCGCCCCCTGTCGTTTCACAGAATAGCACAACGGCGAGCGCGTCAAGTATAAACGCCTCGTCCGTTTGGAGAGGTGCGCGCGCAGTCAGCGGAGACTCGCGCTCGTGCGGACGCGTCGAGTATAAACAAGGCTTAAGACTAAATTAGACAATTTAGGAGCACTTTGATACCCAGATGTTAGACCAGATCACTAAATGCTGATTTTGTTTTTTGCTGTTTCCCTTTTTGAGACGTTTCCACCAAAATGTTAGCGATTTGAACACTTTGCAACTAAATTGTTCCTCTATACATGAATTTCAATATCATAATGCTCAGGAACCCATCAGTAGTTGTTTAGAGGGTTACTTGGTTGATTCTAGAATCTACTAGGTGCTTTGTGGCACGAGTAGGAACTGTAGCTGTTCTAATAATTGAAATATCAGGAATAACTATCTGGCGAGCTCCGGAGAGGGCGGCGAGTCTTGGACGGTGAGAGCGGCGAGGAGAAGTTGAAATCAGGTCAAATTTATGGTAATGAGCAATGACGCGGTTCGGCAGCAACCAATCGTAATGTAGAAGTGCTCCGTTTGAGAGGATTCCAGAGAACGCAGTCCTGTAACTTTTTGGTTCCAACCACATTATTTCCCAAGCAAAATAGAGGAGAGATTGATCATTTGAATTTGATAAGAAGGCACGCAACACTATTTATAGGCAAAAATTTTGCGCTAGAACACTTGTTTTTCAGCGGGAATGCAAATTAGAATAGCACTTAACCATGAACACAAAAGCCACACCACACAAATAGCTTTTAATTGGTTTATTTCATTAGCAAATTAATCAATGGAATGTCACTATAATTAAGTTCTTTCCATTGATCAATTTTCTGCAAAAATAACTATTGACATGCTTGTTTGCTTTGCGGCCCCTTTAAATATAGTTTTAAAAAAGACCAAGTATTCATCTACATCAGAGCGTCCACGAATATTTCCATGGCGTCGCTGGCAGAGCGGCGGCGGTGTGAACGTAGGGTATCTCCTGGAGAAGTTTGAGTGGATGGATGCATAAAAATAACTTCCAGCCAAGACATTGATCTTAATATATTTACCTTTTCCCCAATGATCATTTCAGGCCAAGTGACAATGCAAAAATCACTGTTTGATTGACAGTGTAATTCTATTTATAGATAGAGTGCAAATAATTTGTTTTGCAATATAGATGCTGACTAAAGATTTTTCTAGTTGACTAATAGTTTAAAATGAATGACTACTAATCACATTTTTATACTAATAAGCCTTAACTAATAATAATGAGCCTTTAATTGCCTATATAATACAAAGCCTAATCAGCGCTGAAGCGCGCACATAAAGCTCCACAGCGCACTGGCAAACATTGAACCATCATTACTAAACATTGTAATCTCTGCAGCCGAAAACATTACCAATAAATTAAGTCAACGATGCTGACTCATCTCCGCAGTGACGCGCATATATGCACGTTTCATATGGATTACATAATGAGAATAATTATTTTACACTTGAATTGGTTCCTTTAAAAGCAGACATTTCAAGCTTTCTATAGATATATTTATCGTGTGTGAGGTGAGTACACGCTGAGTTTCGGCTCATTTCTGTGACGCTCAAGTTTACTGAGACAGCAGAAAGCACATCCTTATTGTTTTCATTATTTTACAAAAGCAAAACATTTTTTAGTTATTGTGAGTTTACAGAAATAATAGAAAATGAAATTTGACCCTTTACAGTTTGCATTACTCTTATCTATATGAATAAAAGGACAAGAGTATTTTAAGTAAAATGATCGCGCCGGCTCCTCTATGTAAAGCGTCTTTCCACACACGCACAGATATGAGTCTAATAATAACACATTTATCAGGTTAACATTAGAGTGAGCGACTTGTAAGGTTGATACTACTCGCATGTTTCAAGAGATAAGCCATATTTAAGGTCAATGACTGATAGGCAAATGTTTGGATTTCCTGCCGACTGCCGTTATTGATCTGTCCGACACAGCCTGCGTGATTTCCTGCGGGGGTTTTTTTCCCTGCGACTAACCGACTAATAAAATCGTGGTTAACTATTAGAGGGCAGACCTAATAAATACTGATAATAGGATTTAGAACTTTGGATTGGAATTCCAGTACACACACTTTCTCATTTCAATAGTTTTTTCTGTCCACTTTTAGGTAAAAGTACCCAGAAGACACCCTGGCAGCAGACAGAGGTGCAGGCGGTGGAAAGGCACATGCAGCGATTCATCACATCGCTCACTGTACCAGCAAAGAGTGACTGTGAAAAATGTTTGAAAGCTGAACCAGGAGCGCTTAAGAACCGCGATTGGAAGACTGTAAAATTTCACATTTATAATCGTATTACAGCTTACAAAAAGAAATTCCAGTGCAAATAATAATAATGTGAAGATCCAACTCTGTCGTGGCAGGTTTTGTTCAAAGATGTTAAAAGGTTAAAGATGTTTTTGGGTTTACTAACCCTTTAAAACTACAGAAACACGTGTAGGCTATAGAATAACTTTATTTGAAATTGTTTGCCATATGTTTTATGATGACTGTGATGACCACCAGTCGGAAAGCATTGGTCGAACAATAAAGTTATTTTAAAGTTGTAGTTTGTTTAAATTCACATGTATGTGAAAGGAAGCATGTGTGAAAGTTATATATATTATACTTTTAATATCAGGACTTTGTTTTGAGGTATGACTTCATTTGAGTTATTTTGTGAAGTTGAACTCAATAAAAGTTGAATTCAGCCATTGTAATGTAAATTAATGTATTGAAGCTCAATTAGTAGTAGATTTTTTAAATAAGTATCAGGTGAATGAGTAGCAGCTGATGCTGGGAGGGTGACTGAAAAATTACAATTATAGAAAGAATATTTTGAAGTGGAATGGTTTGAATGTTTGACTTGTGGTTATGAAATGGGTTGGAAAATATCCAGAAAAAAATTCACTACTTGCATGCAATCCTTTGTTGCAGTTCTCCATTCACACACAATCCACTTCAATCACACTACTATTCCAATCAAACGTAGGCTTAAACACGGACTTTAGTCTGAGACTATCTTAAGCCAGGTCTGTGAAACCAGCCATAGGTATTCTATGCAAGAGTGAAGCTTTGCATCACTGGCACCATTTGCAGTCCTCACTATCTCTCCACATTAACTAATCGAAGTTGTTTTGTACTACTGTATATTTTAATTCTGCTTGGTTGTAGATTCAACCCATTTTTAAGGGCAAATGGAAAAATGCAATCTGAGGATTTACTTTATATAAATGCCTATTATTTGTCGAATAGTGATATACTTATTGTTCTATCTAGGTCCCCACAAATCAAATAAGAGGTTGTGTGAATTATGCAAATTAGGTCCCCTTAAATCAATTGGGAGGTTGTGTGAATTATGCAAATTAGGTCCCCACAAATCAAATGGGAGGTTGTGTGAATTATGCAAATATTATGCAAAGTAGGTCCCTATAAGACATGTCCACTGGATGTTTCAAAGGTCCCCATTGCGCATGGTCAAATCATTACTTCATCAATTCAGATATTTGAAGGCGTGTATAAGTTATCAAAGCTATGGTAAGTATCCCTAATTTTTTTTATACCTCTAGAACCTTTAGAAAGGGTGGTCCCCACAGGTGATGGTCATAAAGTTGGTCCCCATCCAACATGGAAACCAGTATGTGTGTGTGTGTGTGTGTGTGTGTGTGTGTGTGCGTGTGTGCGTGTGTGCGTGTGTGCGTGTGTGCGTGTGTGTGTGTGTGTGTGTGTGTGTGTGTGTGTGTGTGTACATACTCCGTCATTTTGTTCAGATCATTAAACCTGCAAAGTGTTTACTTATATTTGTGTACACTCGCAATAAAACACAACATTGTGCTTTTGTCACACTGTAAACTCTTGTCAAACTGTAACCTACAACTGTCACCCAACCAAAAACACACACTGTTTTTAAAAGCAAAACATATTTATCCAACTCCATTTCAAAACCGTCTGTGTGTTCCTTTTGGACATTCGTCATATTGCATTGGTTTTCATTTCTTGTCCTCGGAGCACTAATCTTACACATTCTACATTGATTAAAAAAAGAAAATCGAATGTGTTTTTAATGGTAGTATTATTTTATACAGAAATCAATTATTTATAATTCAGAAGAGAATAATGTTACATTGTCAATTAATAATGTTAATTAAAATTAAGGAAAACAAATATATTGATCTGAAATATAGCAAAATAATTTTAAATTAATTCAGGTACAATTACCAAACATATCGCAAGGTCTTTTTGTCTTTTTATTAATTTAATTAATAAACTAATTATATAAAACTATTGTTAGTGCACTACAAATAAACTGGTTCTATGCCTTTATTAAAAAAACTTATTTAAAAAATACAATGCCTTCTGCATTTTTGTTTTGCTTTTCCCTCCATTGTACCGAAATCGTACCGAACCGTGACGTCTGAACCGAGGTATGAACCGAACCGTGACTTCTGTGTACCGTTCCACCCCTAGTAAATACCTATGCAACTACTGGTGGTGGTGTCACGCGTTATCTATCTGGCGATAGTCCCAGCTTGAATAATTCGTCCTTGCGCCTATTGCTGGCAATACGGTCCTTAGGGGCCTGGCTTCGCGCAGCCTAGTGGCTTTTTCTATGCCCGTTTCGTCATGCGCAACATTAGCGGCCTAGCGGCTCAGCGAACCTGGTCTATGCGTGGCTTAGCGTGACCTCGTCTCTGCGTGGCTCATCGTAGCCTTGTCTCTGTGTGGCTCAGCATGGCCTCGTCTCTGTGTGGCTCAACGTGGCCTCGTCTCTGTGTGGCTCATCGTAGCCTTGTCTCTGTGTGGCTCAACGTGGCCTCGTCTCTGTGTGGCTCAGCGTGGCCTCGTCTCTGTGTGGCTCAGCGCGGCCTCGTCTATGTGGCTCATCGTAGCCTTGTCTCTGTGGCTCAACGTGGCCTCGTCTCTGTGTGGCTCAGCGTGGCCTCGTCTCTGTGTGGCTCAGCGCGGCCTCGTCTCTGTGTGGCTCATCGTAGCCTTGTCTGTGGCTCAGCGTGGCTTCGTCTCTGTGTGGCTCATCGTAGCCTTGTGTGGCTCAGCGTGGCCTCGTCTCTGTGTGGCTCATCGTAGCCTTGTCTATGTGGCTCAGCGTGGCCTCGTCTATGTGGCTCAGCGTGGCCTCGTCTCTGTGTGGCTCATCGTAGCCTTGTCTATGTGGCTCAGCGTGGCCTCGTCTCTGTGTGGCTCATCATAGCCTTGTCTCTGTGGCTCAGCGTGGCCTCGTCTCTGTGGCTCACCGTGGCCTCGTCTCTGTGTGGCTCATCGTAGCCTTGTCTATGTGGCTCAGCGTGGCCTTGTCTCTGTGGCTCAGCGTGGCCTCGTCTCTGTGTGGCTCATCGTAGCCTTGTCTATGTGGCTCAGCGTGGCCTCGTCTATGTGGCTAAGCGTGGCCTCGTCTCTGTGTGGCTCATCGTAGCCTTGTCTATGTGGCTCAGCGTGGCCTCGTCTCTGTGTGGCTCATCGTAGCCTTGTCTATGTGGCTCAGCGTGGCCTCGTCTCTGTGTGGCTCATGGTAGCCTTGTCTCTGTGGCTCAGCGTGGCCTCGTCTCTGTGGCTCACCGTGGCCTCGTCTCTGTGTGGCTCATCGTAGCCTTGTCTATGTGGCTCAGCGTGGCCTTGTCTCTGTGGCTCAGCGTGGCCTCGTCTATGTGTGGCTCATCGTAGCCTTGTCTATGTGGCTCAGCGTGGCCTTGTCTCTGTGGCTCAGCGTGGCCTCGTCTCTGTGTGGCTCATCGTAGCCTTGTCTCTGTGGCTCAGCGTGGCCTCGTCTCTGTGTGGCTCATCGTAGCCTTGTCTATGTGGCTCAGCGCGGCCTCGTCTATGTGGCTCAACGTGGCCTCGTTTTTATGTGGCTCAGCGTGGCCTTGTCTCTGCGGATCAGCGTGGTTTCGTACATATATATTAATCTTTTTTTTTTTTTTAAATAAATTCTAAGCGTCAGCAAATGCGTAAATGTCTCATGTAAATTCAGCAGCAGAAAAGTATCTTTTCATATAAACTTAAGCATGCTCCACTTTTAGATTGTGGAGTTCCGTTCCCACGACGATATCGCTGGAACTCTACTATCTATGGAAATTGACACATCCATGTCTACCGCTGTTTGCTAACTCTTTTCTTCTTCTATTTTTAGGAACCACATAACATACGGCTGGTGAGTATACGTTTCTTTCATGTTCTTTGGGGGTGGGCTTCGTCCAGTGGAATTATTCTTCCACCCATTCTTGGGGGTCGGCTGCGCCCCTGCCTTCATCTTCAGGCAGGATATGCAGAATCCGTACCCTCGGATCGCGAGTTATGGACGGGGCCTACGCCAAAGATCTTTATTGCATATATGGCTTGCTGGGCTGTTAATAAAATGCATTATTGTACAGTATCTTATCTCCCGAGTCTTTCTGGTAGAAATGAAAGCGTAGCTTAAGTTCCGCCAGGAAGACTCAATTGTTACGTCATGTATTACCTTCTCATCTATCCAATCGCGTTCTAATACGTGAAGTATAAAAGATCCTTACTTAACACTCGTCTGAGTTCGCAGATGCTGGCGCTTTCACTTTCCACCATCCTCCCCACCTCCACCAAGACGGTCTTCGTTCCATCCTTTCCACCACCACCAGGTCGGTCCCTTCCAAAACCCCAAGGGGGGGTCGGCTGCGCCCCTGCCTTCATCTTCAGGCAGGATATGCAGAATCCGTACCCTCGGATCGCGAGTTATGGACGGGGCCTACGCCAAAGAACTTTATTGCATATATGGCTTGCTGGGCTGTTAATAAAATGCATTATTGTACAGTATCTTATCTCCCGAGTCTTTCTGGTAGAAATGTATGATCATCATATCAGACACTATAAGGAAGCACTTTCTATGGCTAAATCAAATTATTATGCCAATTAAAAAAATTCTGTTGGTGGAAATACAAAACTATTGTTCCCTTTTGAAGGGAACTCAACAATACGTCATCGACGCTATGGGGAACGCCTCAGGCGTGACAGGTGTCTGAAATCACTATCAAATCACGTCAATCACATTGACCGGCGACAGCCCGTGAATCATTAACGTGAATGATTAACGTGCGACCTGGAAGTATATAAGGGCGCCTTGCAAACATGACAAATCATCTTTTCGTCTTCAGGGACTGTTTTGTCTGTAACTGCTTTGAAAATCAGGTAATTATGAAATGCTTTCAGAAGTGTGCAGACCCGTGCTCAAGATATCTGAAGCCGGGTGACACACGCGAACTGTGCATTTTTCTGTCTGGGAAGGAAGACACGCACAGGCGGTTCTCGAGGGAACTGCCTGTACAAATTGTGATCGCGCCTGTCCCTCTTCTCGAGAGAAGAGGGT